GAAAGAAAGAAAGAAAGAAAGAAAGAAAGAAAGAAAGAAAGAAAGAAAGGAAGGAAGGAAGGAAGGAAGGAAGAAAGGAAGGGAGAAAGAAAAGAAGGAAAGAAGGAAGGAAAGCGAGAAGGAAGGAAGGAAGAAAGGAAGGAAGGAAGGAAAGAGAGAAGGAAGAAAAGAAAAGGTTACCTGAGACAGAAGAGAGCTTGGAAGGTTTGGGGGCTATTGCTTCCTTTAATTTTTTTTTTTAACTTTTTCTTTCTTTTTCTTTTTGCTTGGGATTAATTTGCCAGTGCAAATCAGCCACTCACAGCGAAGAGTCAAGACTGCTTGGCAATGCTTCAGCTGAGAAGCTGCTTTGCCAGGATGTGGACACACTTGCTTGCTAAAAGACAGGGAAGCACTGCGGCAGAGGATCCCTCCACACTCCGCATTTCCAGACTAAATTTACATAGTGCTAGGGGCAGCCTTTCCAGACTGGGATACATTCAGAGTGGAGCAGTCTGGCTTTCGGTGTTTGCAGACACCTACAAAAGCCATAAAAGCAGATTAACCCGGATTGGCTAGTGGTTGAGAAGGGCTGAGGTAGGAGGAAAAGAGGTAAAACAGGATTTGAGGACAGATAGTTACAGGCAAAGAAAAAGGAAGCTGGAAGGCCGCCAGCACTCTAGACTACTTCTGGTCCAGCATGTGTTCTTGTGATTTTTATCAGCATTTATTTTAATGTTAAAACACACACACACACACACACACACAGTAGAATTAAGAGACTTAAACTGCTCCATTTAAGGAAAGCTGAGATCTCTTTGGTATTACAGGTAGGTAAATAAGGCACAGGAAGGTATAGACTGCACAAACTAGAAATGACCAAGGCTTGAGACTCAGGCCTACAGACTCAGTTCAAGTCTTCATCTGAGACACTAGATTGTCTCAAGGAAATCTTTAATGTTCTACCCAGAACTTTTCAAAACAACATAATTTCACCATTTTGTGTGTTTGAAATCTGGGTGCAGGGTACCTATGTGTACCACAGACTGATCAAAACAGGAATTAAAGTTGTGTTGTCTCCTGAAGGCTTGGCTGGGAAAGAATCTGCCTGGAAGCCCTTCGATGAAGTTGCTCCATTCATATAATTCTGTTTTGCTTATTCTTTGACAATGGATATTCTCTTTCTTCATATTTCTTTATTTCCTTCTCATCTCTATCTACCCTACTCCTTTCTGCATCCCCAGATTCATGACTTTTGGGTTGGATTTGTGACCCATTTAATTTAACCACTGCCATTTGTATGACTATTGGATTCAAACTCCATTGGAGCCTGGTGAGATCACAATCAAAAGCAGTGACTCCGCATTCCTTGAATTGATGAGTATCAAATAATTCAGCAACGAGAGGTAGTGCCACCTGAGTTTCTTCTCCATCTATGCATTGTCTATTGATAGGAGACCGACATTCCAGGCTGTGCTGACTTTTGCAATAGTGGTATTACTGCTATCGGGGCAACAATAGTCTGATGGGATTTGAGCCCTACTCTATAAAAAGAATGCATGCCTGGTTCCATAAGCCTGGCCCAAAATCTATGATTCAGAGGTCATAGATGCTAGACAGGTTGACTTAATACTGTTATCTAGCAAATTGACATGACATCAAACTGTGTTCTAAAGTTTATTTTAGTGTCCATAGACAAATGCTACTCTCAGCCTTAATCAGAGCACCCTCATGTTCCAGAATAGTGGTGAATGCAAAGACTCATGGCTGTGCAAGGTGTTGAGAATGTTGAGAATAAATTACAGATGAGTGCTCAATCATGAACAAGATATATATATATATATTTATATTTTTATATTTTTATATATATTTTATATTTATATAAATATAAAATATATATTATATTTATATATATATATATTTACCTCTAATGTTCAGAGAATACCATGGAAGAAGGGGAGAAAAGAGTGTAAGAGAAAATAGAAAGGAGGGCTATAAAATGACACCTTCTGGGCAAGACACAGCCACTGTAATCATGAACTTGACACAGACATATTTAACTATGCCAGGTCTAGATGCATATAAAAACTTTAACCTGAAACAAAGAACAAGGAAATAATGGCATTAGCCAATGCTCTTCTCCAGAAAAAGAGAATCACTCAGCCATATGCATGAGTATACTTAGATTGCTTTCAAGAAATTGGCTCACACAACTACAGAGATGTGGGTCCAGGACCTGTAGGGTAAACTAGTTTCCTTTGGTAACTATTATTTCCTTTGGGTAACAGCTCTCTAGTTAGACAGGATGAGTTGCAATCCACTGGCTAAATCCTTTCTTGCCCTCAGGAAGTTAGCCATTGTTCAGTTAATCATTCAGAGACCAGTGACTTTTAAACAAACTTTATTAAGGTTATTTTTTAAATAGTTTATTTAATTTTATTTTATGTGCATTAGTGTGAAGGTGTCAGATCCCTTGGAATTGGCGTTACAGACAGTTGTGAGCTGACATGTGGGTGCTGGGAATTCAACCCAGGCTTTTTGGAAGAGCATATACAGTGTTCTTAACCACTGAGCCATCTCTCCAGTCCAAGGTTATTTTATTAGCAAGCTATAAGTATTTATGGACTACAATGTAATATTTTATTTATATAATGTAAAATAATTCAGCTAAATAACATTACGTACTACCTTGTTAATGTACCTTTTTTTAATGAGAACACTTGAATTTTATTTTTTTGATAATTTTAAAATACACAATGTAATTATTATTATTGACTATAGTCAGTATGTTATAAAAATGACCTAAACAATATTTTAGTCATGGGTGCTTTGCATTCCTGTAATACCATTTATGAGGCTGAGCCAAGAGGATGGAGAATTTACTATCAGCCGGGTTACATAGTGAGTTTGACCATCCTCTGATCCTCTATGTTGTTGGAGGGCATATTGTTGGCATATTGATCCTCATATGTCATTGGAAAGGCATTTTCTTTGGTAACAGCTCCCCATTTATGCTGGTCACTAACTTTTGGCAGCTATCCACCAACTCTCTATTTCCTTGAGTGCCTGTATTATATTTTCTGTTTAAGGGATATCACATGGTTATTGTCTTTTGTCCATCAAAAGTAAATGAATAAATGTTTTTGTTAGGGTTTCCATTGCTATGAAAAGGTACCATGACCACAGCAACTCTTATAAAAGAAAGCATTTAATTAGGGTGTAAGCATTTAATTGGGGCTTACTTACATGTTCATTGTCATTGTGGGATATAAGGTGGCACACAGGCAGACGTAGTGCTTAAGAAGTAGCTGCAAGTTCTCTGCAGGCAGCAGAGAGGGATACTGGGCCTGGCTTGAGCTTCTGAAACCCCAAAACCCATTTTCAGGCCACATTTGCTCCAAGGACCTCGGAGTGCCTATGAACTTATAGGGGCATTTTCATTCAAACTATCACAATAAGGAAAATGTAACACATAAACACACACACACTCACATGCACACACTCATGCATACAATGGGTAAATGAGGAAATTCTTCAATTTTGAACACTAGAAGATGTCATGCGATGAAAACTGATTTAAATGTGAACCTCATTCCACAACCAACCTCTTCACATCCAAAATGATCTTTGACCATGTTGCTGAGCACCTGATCAAACCAAGTTAACCAGTAAAATTTATCACATTAACCAAAACCACCTGACATTCTTCTAGAAAATGGAGAAGTAGCTGTAATGTGCTCTGCTACATAATTCATCTGTTGAGGCTTCCATGGGGGTGGAGGTGTGTGAATGATGGCTAAAATTCTCCAGTGTGCCTGTGCTGGCCATTAGTCAGTGTGTTAGGAGCATGTGCATATTTTGAAATCTGTTTTCACAAAACAGATCTGTTCTTTATTTTTGGAAGACCATGTGAGGGAAATGGTAGATAATGCAAAGTACAGAATTTTGATGCAATAGACCTAAGTTAAAGCTCAGCTGGAGAGTTTGCCAAGACTGTAAACTTCTGTGTTTATCCTGATTTATAAAATAAGGTTAGCTGCTGAGCATGTTTCAGTCAGATTTGACAAGCCAAAGACACAGAACACTTGGGGATTTTCCAGAATTTGGTTATATCCCTTGCTCCCACCCCACCCCTGTTCCATATATCACATCATCCTAAAACTGAAAGTGCCAAGACCACATTCTTCTATATTCAGGAATCTCCTGATGGCACTCC